GCCAGCCCCGCTCTGGGAGTGTGCTCGGAACTGTCACCCCACACCATCCTGCCTTGCCGGGTGGCTGGGGTCCCCCGTGCGGCCCCGTGCTCCCCCTGCTCCTGGTGGAGAAGGCTCTGGGTAGCCTAAAAAAGGGCCCTGCGCCCCTGAGGAAGGGCAGCTAGTGGGGGCAGGGAGAGAGCAGTCTCAGCTGTGCATTCAGTGTCGAGCCGGGCACTGGGGCTTCTTGGGGCTTCTAGAGCCCAGGCTTCCCTTCCAGGAGATGGGCAGGGGTGTCCTGCCTAGAGATCAGAGCTGGCAGGTGGAAAGGAGGACCAGAGGATCCTTCTCCTACCTGGCTCGCGGCCCTTGTCCTCTCCTTCCTCCTGAGCCTGGGGAGGCTGGAGGTGGGGGTGAGGGGAGGAGAGAAGGTGGAGACGGTGGTGCTGGGCAGCGTGATTGGGCAGGTTCCACGCCAGGCCGCTGTGCTCCGTCCACAGGCTGCGCACACAGCCCGTGCCGTGCGGACCCGATAGGAGCTTGCGTTCCGAGTGGGAGAATCAGAGCAGGTCTCGCCTGCTCTGTGTGGGAGGGGGTGGGCTGCCAGTGAGCCCTCCCAGCGTGTCAGGAGAGCGAGGCAGGCAGCAGAGGGCCCAGCTGGAGAGCTGTGTCCCGAGGGAGTCTCGGCTCCTGTGGGCCCTGTTTCTCCACCTGAAAAGTCAGTACTTTGTTCCGGAGGGCCTGCGAGGGGCTTGTGTCCTAGGACCCTGATGAGTGGGGTCGGCTGGGGGTGGGAGGGTGGGCACGTGGGCGGCCAGGGCACCTTGGCTGTCATCCGGTCCCTCTCCTTCTGCGTGGGGAAGGTAGAGGCGCCAGGGAAGGACAGACCTGGGATGTGGGAGAGGAAGGTCTCCTGCGTGCTAACCACGGGACCTGGGGTCCTCCCAGGCAGCCCCGGCGCCCTAGCCGTCTGGAACCCTCTTCTCCTGTGCCCTGGCCTGTAGCTGGTGTGAGACTGACCACACAATTAGGAAGGGATGCTGCCAGGAGAGGACAGTGTCACCACACACACCCCTCGCCCTGCCCCAAAGCCTGGCGATTTTCTCGTCCGGCCCCAGGCCCTGGGCACGCAGGCTGCGGAGTGGGTCAGAGCCCGCTTGGAGTGGGAGGAGGACTTTGATGTCCCAGCTCGGCCTCCTGTCCCCCTCCTGCCGATGGTACTGTTCTCTTTGGTGGGGATGGGTAGTAAGTGGCCGGCTCGTGGGCCGCCGGGACTCATCGGTTCCAGCTGGCGGTGGCTTTGGGGGCAGGAGGGGTTGGGTGTCAGGCTGTGCTCCGTGGATGTGAGATGCAGGGGCTGAGAAGCTCCCAACTCCCCCAGGACATGTGAGACCAGCAGAGGCCACCTCTGTCCTTAGTCAGTGGGAGAGGGGACTCTTACACACTGATGGCCGTGAACTCCAGTCTGCAGATTGAAAATGCCGGGCAGAGCTGGGCCGAGGCCGGACAGGGAGGACAGTACCCCAGACCTTCCTCCGTCGAAGGGCCCTGACATTTCTCCCAGGCACATACCAGCCCATAACAATGAATCTGAGCCCCCGGCCCCCAGGCCCGGCTGTCCCGGCTCATCTGTCAGCCACCCGATCCGCTGCACCTGTTCCAGGCCCAGCCTGTGAGCTGCCACTGCACCGTAGCTATGAATAGGGTGGAGGGCAGGGGGCTGTGGGGGCACTCTCAGGGTAACGTGGGGGGCAGCTTTGCTCTCAGGCTGAGAAGGCAGAGACGCTGAGCGTGTGCGGGGAGGTCCTCAGATTGGGGGGTATGCGGTGGGGCTGCAGGAGGTGGTGGGTTGTAATTAGGATGGCACCAAGGATGGTGAGGTGCTGTGGGGTGTGCGCTTTTCGCTGGCCGGGGTCCCCTGGGACCAAGCAGTGGGACCATAGGGTAGGTTCTAGGGCAGACATTGGACCACCAACGTCTGAGCCAGATGAGGCGTCTGAGACTTTCATCTCTGCCCCATCTCCTTCTCTCTCTCTCTCTCTCAAGCACCAGCTCACCTGTTCTACCTGCTCCCCCAAAAGTCACACACTCCATGAGAGCAGAGACAACACTGCAGCCTCTTTGGGCGCCCCCTGTCCTGGCCATGCTGGGCCAGGCAGGATAAATGGGCAACGGAGTGACTGGAAGGACCAGGCGAGTGGGAGGCGATGCCAGAAGCCCCTGGAGTGTCTTTGAGCCGGGGCGGGGCTCCGAGGACTGGCAGGGGTGCAGGGGGTGGAGGTCCCCCTTGTGAGCACAGGACTGCTTCACACCCAGAGCAGCCGAGAGGGGAGAGTTTCAACAGCCCCGTGCCACTATGTGGAAGGCACACCGCGTGCTGGGCCTGAGCCCTGGGAGAGCTTGGTTCCCGCCTCAAGTGTGCTTACCATCTGGAAGGGGCAAGGCCAGGCCCTGCCAGCACAGGGTGGTGACGGGCACGTCCCATCCCCGCGGGGTGCTGGGCAGCTGCTCCCTTGTGCGCTGGGGAGAGCCTGGAGGGGCCATGCCAGCCCTGCCCGAGCCCGGTGCACAGTGCACGGATTCACATTTCTTCATTAACAGTTAGGTGATTGTTTTCATATCTATTAGGAGAAACAGAATCCCTGATGTCACCGATATGACTGCTTAGAATAAGAATGAGTTGATTTGAAAGAAACCGTTAGGGATGGAGTGGGGCGTGTGGTGAGTGCTACGTGAATAGCATCAATCAGGAGGAGGACGGCGGTGGCTGCATCCGGGAGACATCAGTTCACGTCCTGGCCTCGCCCCCTCATCCGGGCGCCTGCCCTCCCCAGGAGCGGGGCTCCCTGCCAGCTCTTTTCCAGGCACGGTCCACGCTCCTGCCCTGCGCTCATGTATCTCAAGCACACACGAACTGTCCCCCAGGCCTTTTTTGTCCGACGAACTGGGTCTCCGAGGAGAAGCGTGTGACTCAGTAGAGAGAACAGGAGACAGAGAGCTGGTGCTGTCCCCGGGGCCGGCGTCACAGCAGCAATTAATTCCCAGCCCACCGCAGGCCCCTGGGCGCCCCCTGCCCTGCTCCACGCCCACCACAGATGCGGGAGACTGCTGCTCATTTTGGAGTTTGGTTTTCTCCTTTTCTTTTTTTTGGCCATGCCGTGCAGCTTGCGGGATCTTTGTTCCCCAACCAGGGATTGAACCCAGGCCCCCAGCAGTGCAAGTGCAAAGTCCTAACCCCTGGGCAGCCAGGGAAGTCCCTGTAATTCATTTTCTTCTTTCTTCCTAACGGCCCCATGAAAGCCCTTGCTGGGCACACTGAAATGTATGCCATCTAGGTCAACATGGAAACAGCCTTTATTTTCATCATAAAGGTAACACATCCTCGGGGCTTCCCTGGTGGCGCAGTGGTTGAGAGTCCGCCTGCCAATGCAGGGGACGCAGGTTCGTGCCCCGGTCCGGGAAGATCCCACATGCCGCGGAGCGGCTGGGCCCGTGAGCCATGGCCGCTGAGCCTGCGCGTCTGGAGCCTGTGCTCCGCAACGGGAGAGGCCACAACAGTGAGAGGCCCACGTACAGCAAAAAAACAAAAAAAAGTAACACATCCTCGTTCTGCTTTATGACCTGCTTTTTTCTTTCTTTCTGCTCAACATTATGTTGTAGTCAGTTCACAATAGTAAATACAGGTCCCTGTCGACACGGTGTGTGGCTCTATAATATTTCTGCTGTGCCCAAGACAGTTGCCCCCCTGCCAGTCTAGAGGGTCTTCTTGCTCTTGGAAAACTTCTTTCCCCAAAGGAGAGAAAAGTAATGACTTTGATGGCCAGGGGCAGAACAGCCCGGGGCCCGGCTCTGAATCCTGCTGGAAACTTCCCAGGGTTCTGGGGCTCCCTGTAACTTTGTGCAGAAGAGTCCTTGGGGTCAGAATCCTTATCGCGGTCAGGAGCTCCCCTGCGTTTGTGGGGCTGCACTCTGGGTCCTGCTGGGCAGTGATCTGGGACGAGTTGTGTGGATGGGAGGGGAGAGGCTTCCCCCTAAGAGTAAGCCTTTTGTGATGTTTGCACACTGCTTCTGAGTCTGAAGCTGCTTTGTTAGCACCTCAAATGGGGTGACTTGCTGTGGAGCCCAGGTTCCGGGGTGGGGACCCCTCAATGGTTGGGGGCTTCGCCGAGGCACCGAACAGCCTCACCCAGCGTCTCTCGGCTGGGTGGGAGAAGCAGCAGAGTTGGAGCCTGAGGACCCAGGGCCCGTGACTCATCCACTCTGTGGCCTTGGGCAAGGCCCGCGGTCGGGGAGCCTGAGATCAAACTGAGGCCCCCGTCCTGCCTTGTCCCCCTCGCAGGGAGTGGGTGTGAAGTCATGAGTCTTATTACCCACCTTTTCTTGGGGGGGCAACTTCAAATCGCCCCAACACGCAGCAGGAGGCGTCCTGGACCCTGCCATCAGGCACGAAGCTGATCAGAGGCCCGGGGGCTCCCACGCCGGGCTGGGGAGGGGTTCCCTTTGGCAAACGGGCTCGATGAGAGGGTGCTAACCAGACTTCTGTCGGGCATAGAGCTCTCAGAGCAATTGCAGAGGAACCCAGCGGAAGGAGGCCGGTGTTGGGGCAGAACAGAGATGCAGAAGGTCAAGGGTGGCCGGGCTCGCGGTGCCCCAGAGATGGCGGGAGGCCAGGCCCCCAGAGCCACTGCTGAAGGGACACTGGCAGGGCCCTAATGTTCTAGAGACCGATTGGGGGCCCCGTCTGCTGGGCTGTTGGTACCCGGTGGGCAGCAGGGCCGGGAGCTGATGCAGGCCCAGGCTCTTGCCATTGTTTGGGGCACACGGCCTGACTTTACACCAGGCCTGCGTGTGGATGGATGAGGCAGCTTTCCGAGGTCCTGCGTCCACGTTTTTTCTGAGCCCCCTGATGGCGTCCTGGCCCTGGGGCCTGGGCTGTGGCCCCAGAGGCCTCCTCGGTGCTGCCCCCAACAGGGCCCCTCTGAGTTACCGCCCCTCCTTGGTCTCCCCTTGTCTCCCTCCAGGCAGACCTCAACACCAACATCGAGGATGAGGGCAGCTCCTTCTATGGGGTGTCCAGCCAGTACGAGAGTCCTGAGAACATGACCATCACCTGCTCCACCAAGGTCTGCTCCTTTGGCAAGCAGGTGGTGGAGAAACTGGAGGTGAGCATGCGCCACTGCTCGCCCGCCTGGGCGCCAGACCGTCGCGCCCGTGCGGCCCGGGCTTCTCACCTCTGTGCCCAGATATGTCTGAATGAATGCAGTCTGACCCTCGCCGTGCCTCTTCATTGACAACCCACCTCCCGTCCAACACAAGCAGAGCACCTGCCCCCCCTCCCCATCCTGGTGGGCCTCACCTGTTGCCCGTCAGGTCACGGGGAGCCGTTCCAGCACCCCAGAGCTGAGCTCCCCTACAGCTCTTAACCCACGACCCCTCGGGTGGTTCCGGGCAGCAGCGGTCTCTGAGAAGCTCTTCGAGTTAGTTATTTCCAGTGAAATTTTAATTTTGAGATCGTTGTGGATCCACGTGCAATGGTAATCCCTTCCCTAGTTACCCCGATGGCAGCATCTTACATACCTAGAGTGGACCATTAGTAACCTGGCTGTTGACACCGACGTAGCCCACCAACCCGAGTCAGATGCCGTCCGTTTACACGCACTCACTTGTGTGCATGCCTGTGTGTATGCGCCCAGATGTGTAGCTACACATACGTGACGGTTCCGTGGCCACAAGGTCCCTGTGACCCGTCCCCCATGTGCGGCCGGGATTGAGCTGTCATTCCGTCTTCGTCTCCACGTCTTGAAGCTCCTTCCTCCGATACCCGGTGTCTGGGTCATGGGGGGCAGGGGGTGCTCTGTCTCGAGGGCTCCCTGGGCTCTGCCCGTCCTTCCCACTTAAGGCCGGTTGGGTTGTGGAGCTTCCTCACGGGGCCGGCCAGGCTGGCTGCGGGCGGCGGCCTCCTAAGCCCCACTGTCCCCGGGCCCCGCAGACCGAGTACGCGCGCTACGAGAACGGCCACTACTCCTACCGCATCCACCGCTCGCCACTCTGCGAGTACATGATCAACTTCATCCACAAGCTGAAGCACCTGCCCGAGAAGTACATGATGAACAGCGTGCTAGAGAACTTCACCATCCTGCAGGTGTGTGTGTGCAGGGGTGTGCGCAAGGGTGAGGGTGAGAGTGGGCGGTGGGCAGAGAAGGTGGCATGCTGTCTCCTGGGCCCCGACGCCCTCCTCCCCTCACCCCTGCAGGTGGTCACCAACAGAGACACGCAGGAGACGCTGCTGTGCGTCGCGTACGTCTTCGAGGTGTCGGCCAGCGAGCACGGGGCTCAGCACCACATCTACCGGCTGGTGAAGGAATAAGAGACTGGGGAGCAGGGAGGGGGGCAAGACATCGTGTGCGCAGGGATGTGGGGTGGGGACCCGCGGGGGCAGCCCCCACAAAGCGCCAAGAGAGTTGAGGTCATGACTCTTCTACCCAGGAACATGAACCCACAGTGCCTAAGCCCAATAAACGCAAGATCTGGGCACCTTCAGAGGCCCCGTCTGGCTGTGGGAGCCTCGGGAGGGGCTGAGGGAGCGGGGGCTGGCTGGGAAGCGGGCCGGAAGCAGCCCCGGGGTGCGGTCCTGAAGCCAAGGCCCCCATGGACTCAGCCAGGAACGTCCAGATGCTGAAGCTCAAGATGGGTCAGCCCCTGCGCTGCACTGGAGCCGCTGCCGGCCACGCTGGGAGGCCTGAGGGGGGCGTGGGTCCTTGGCCACCTGGGAGTGACGGATGCATCCGCCCTGGCCACCTCTGCTGCTGCTGCCCCAGGACAGCCAACAGGGAGGCGCGGCCCAGTCCTGGGGGGGTGGGTTTCAGGTGTGGAGGTGACTGAACTCTCGGGAGGTTGGAAGTGGACGCGGTCAGAGCTCTTTAGGTAGTTTTCATCAGGCCACGCTGGCTGCCTGGGGGGGGTCAGGGGAGCCCGAGACAGCGAGGGTGGGAGTGCAGTGGTGCAGCCAGCTTTTGAGTGTGGCCGGTGAGGCCGGAGTCACGCGGCCTCCTCTGTGGTGGTGAAGGCCAAGACAGTTGGTCAGAGGTCTGCGGTGGACCAGTGGTTTCTGAGACCACGCAGTCTGCATGGTCTGTGGGTCTCACCGCAAACCCCTCCCAGCCAAGAAGCCTGCCGGGTGCCGCCTTGGAGCAGCCCAGGCCGTCCACGCCCTCCTTAAGTCCACTCCCTACCTAAAGGTCAGGTTCTGTGCCCCCTCCCCGCTGTGCCTGGAGGGGACCCGCCGAGGGACTTCCCTGGTCTGTTTCTCCTGGCAACTGGCCTCAGTCCTCGTGTTCCCTGCTGCCCGAGCTGTCTCAGCCTGAGTGTCCTTCCTCCCTGTAAAGGGGGATGGGCGCAGTGAGGAGGAAAGATCATGTCGGTAAAGGGCCTGGTGCAAGATGCACCAAATACAGTAAACATTATTATCATCACCTTATCCCTGCCCTCGGGGCGCTCGGGACCCGGCTCTTTGCTGCCATCTAGCGGCCATTTGGTATCACCTTCTCTAGTGGGGAACCACAATTCCAGGAGCCTGGGGCCGAAGGGGAACAAGATTCAACCTGCAGGTGATGTGTGTGCCCAGCACTCAGGGAGATGTATGGGGATAAGAAGCGAGTAAGACGACGTTGAGTAGGTGTTAGGGAGCAGTTAGGAGCAAGGGCTCTGGAGTCAGGCTGCTAGGATTGGAATCCTGGTGCTCAGCTACAGACTAGCTGTGTGACCTTGGGACAAGCTACCTAATTTCACTGTGCCTCAGTTTCCCCGTCTGTAAAATGGGTATAACAACAGTACCTACCTCGTGTATGCAGAGTGCCTAGCACGGTGCCGAGCACACAAGCGTGTGCGATACATATGCGTTATTATTCATAGCATCTGACTCCTTGCAATCTGAGAAGTCAACCTGGAAAACTCTTAAGTGGGGTGAGCGGTCCTCAGAGCAGCTGGAGTTCAGAGGCGGGAGGGGGCAGGGCGTGGAAGGTTCGGGGATGAGGGGGAAATTGAGAGGGGCTGCCCCTTGAAAGAGGGGCAACGTCTAGGTAAGCAGCCTGTGGACGGCCACTAGGCTCCATGCCAAGTTGTGTGACCCTCGTGCGTGCGGGGACCCAGCTCTCCCTTGTGGATGATGTGATGTGGAGGGGGCCTTGGGGTCCCCGAGAAGCACTCACACGTCCTCCTCTGGTTAGTGTCTGCTAAGGCTCTCCCGCCCTACCCCCTCCCAGCCCCTGTTTCCGGTGCTGTCAGAATAAGGGGAGCTCGTGACGCCTGCCCTCCCAGCACCACTGAACCTTCCAGCAAGGGCTTGAGAAGCGTGTGTGAGCAGCCTCTGGGCCCCGGGACGGATGCACAAACTAGGTCCCTCGTTTTGTATTGTGGGTGAGGGCTGCCAGTGCAGCTGTCGGGTCCACGTGTTGGCTGTGAGTCTTCCCTTCTCTTTAGGAACTGACCTCAGTAGCCTAAGGGACAGTAACCTACTTAGAGCTGGAAAGTCCAAACCGGTCAGCCACGGAGAGCACAGATGCAGGCGCCTCTCCCCGCGGTGTCGTGCAGACCACGACCCTCGGGGCCCGCAAATGGGAGACCCGACCCGGCCCCGCCTCTCCTGCAGCCTCATCTGACACCCCCCTGCGCCCCTCCCCGCCTTTCGGCTCTGGCACCGCATGTCCCCTGGCTGGCAGGCCCTGGAGAACTGTCACTCATTCTTCAAGAGCCAGCGTGGAGCCACGTCTTCTCCCGCAGAAGGGCCGGTTGCTCCTGTCCTGGCGTGGAGAAAGCGTTCCATTCACAACCCGTCAGAGCACCTGCCACACGTCCCTGGACAGAGGGCCTGTGTCACCTCTTCCATCCTCACCCAGGGGTGCTGTGCTCTCCCCATTTTAAAGATGAGGGAAGTGGGGTCTGGAGAGGCCGGCTAACTTGCTTGAGGCTGAATGCATTTATTCACTGGCTTAACACACGTTTATTTAACTTCTGCTTCGTGCCAGGCGCGGGACGTACTGATGGCCGAGGCAGACGGGGTCCCTGGGAGCTTGCGTTTTATTGAGGAGGGAAGACAAAGTGAGCGGGTGAAGGACGTGCAGACTGACGGGTGCTGACAGGAGGAGAGGGCGCCGAGGCCGCGGCCTGGGGGGCGGGCGTGACGCGTGTCCTGGGGACAGCGAGGGAAGCCACATCAGGAACCCAGAGATGCAGGCCCAGATCCGGCCCAGGCCCTGCCCCCATGCTCGGGAAGGGCTTCGGCTTTTTCTGCGTGTGATGGGAGGTCCTGGAAGTGTCTTAAGCAAGGGGGTAAGACTGTCGGGTCTGGGTTTTGGGAAACAACACTGGGTGGCCGTGGAGCACAGAGCAGTGCGCGTCCTTGTTTCTGAGTCAGCCTCGGCCCCTGGACTCAGTATCTGGCTGGGGAGACTGTAGCTGCCCGGCTCTGTCACTTCCTGTAACCTGGACCCCCGTCTGGAGCACAGCAGGTGCCTGATGAACGTTTGAAGGGTGCCCGTGTGCAGGGTGTGTGACCCATGCCTTTTGGGCCTGGGAGGGGTGATGGGTGGGTGTCCCCGAGCCTGCGGGATAGGACTCCGCTGAGATCTGCAGCAGTCAGCAGGCGGGGACGTGGAAACAGGATGGGCGCCTGACCTGTGGGGTCCGCTGGCCCAGCAGACAGCGCCCCAGTGACCACCAATGACCTTCCATAGGGTGGGTGACCTTCTGCATGCGGCAGGAGTTTGGGAGGCGCGTGTGACGCGGCCCTGCCCTTCTGGGACCGGAGCCGGGCTGAGGAGCGCGGGGCTGTGTGTGCCAGCTTGGGCCCCCTGCTCCCTGGCCCGCCCACGGGGCTCGGAGGGCAGTGGGGTGGAGCAGGGCCCGGGTGTCCCTTGTTAGCAGGGGTGGCGACAGCAGGGAGCCCCACAGGGACCGGGCCACCAGTGCACACCTGGGCTGCACCTGCCTGGAGGAGGGACTCGAGCTGGAGCAGGGGCGGGCTTGATTTTCCCCCTCATCCCAGAGGTCACCGCGTTTGACCCCTTCTGACATTACTGCCCAAGACAGGAAACGAGAAGATAACTCTGGATAAGTTGTCCTTGAGAACGGAAGCCAGGCTGCTCCAGGACTGAGTTGGCTTCTTACAAGTCGTGTGACCTTGGGCGAGTGACTTACCCTCCGGGAACCTTTGTAACCTCGTGTGTGAAATGGGAATAAAGTGGGCTGACTGTGGGGAGGAAGAAGGTGACCGCACCTGTGAGGGGGCAGGTCCACACCTGTGAGGGGCGGGCCCACACCTGTGAGGGGGCGGGTCCACACCTGTGAGGGGGCGGGTCCACACCTGTGAGGGGCGGGCCCACACCTGTGAGGGAGCGGGTCCACACCTGGCCCGCGGGGCGCAGCGGGGCAGCGAGTCAGGCGAAGAGGACCGTCCCACCCCGGCCACGGACACTCACGTGTTCACACAGCACTCACACACGCTGAATACACACACACACACTTAGGCACACACACACACCCCTACGCACTATATACACCTACACACACAGTGTATACACACACACATACACGTGCACCACACACACCTACACGCACAGTGTATACACACATATGCTTATACACATTCACACAGTCACGTACACACGCGTATACCACACACCTACACACACTCACCACATAGACACAGACGTACACACACACACACACACGCTCATCGTTAGAGAGGCAAAAGCTCTGCTTCGATGCCCCTTGAAAGGCAGAGAGGAGGCCTCGGGGCTCGGGGTCGGGCAGACTTTCCTCCTCACTTTGGGGTCAGAAACAGGGGAGCAGGTGTTCTTCATTGAGAAAATAACTCTCGAAAGGGAGGGCCAAGCCACTCTGAATAAGAAACTGTCCAGAATTTGGTTTTTGTGTTACTTCGTGAGACAGGACGGGTGTGGTGGGCACGCACCTTCGCGGAAGGCTGGAGCCCAGCGGGAGAAAACCGTGTCTCTGAGCTCATGGATGTCTGATTCAACTTTAAGTTTTTTGTATTCTGCTCTGTAAACCCCCTTTGTCTCCACACCTTCAGTAAAGGCTGCTCCACACACAAAGGCTTTTGTGCGAGTGATTTCTTTGTGTGGAAATGAAGGAGTCCCAGGCGCTGTTGATGGAGCACAAAGCAGCCCCTGCAGAGCCGTCCAGTCTGGACCAGGCCACGGGGAGCAGCATCTCAGAGCCGCCCACCAGCTGACGGCCCCTCCCGAGAGGACAGGACAAGGGGCCACGCTCGGGGTGACGTCCCAGCCAGTCCGAGCCCTTGGGAGGACGTGCCTTGGCTGCCGTCCGAGCCAGTCAGTCGCCTCCCACCTCCTGCGAGGCTCCGGGTTCTGTGAGCGCCGCAGTTTCAGACGCGGAGTGTTAGGTGCTTAATAAGGAACAACTGGACCCAACACCCCTGGATTTGAATAGCCACCAAAGCAGGATGTCCAGGCCGTGCCTGGCAGGATGTGGTCCCTACTTTGGCCTCCTAGGAACTTGATTTTAGCCCTTGACCCGGGAGTGAGTGGGCCCACGGCACTGGCTAGCCAGAATCAGAACTGCGAGCTGCAGCGGACTGATGGGCCCAAACCCACTTTACCAGTTCACCTGAGCAGCGCTGCTCCTGGGACCCGGGACCCAGGGCACGTGTGTCAGCACCTGCCCTCCTCTTGGGGGCCCTTCCTCTCCAGGAAGCCAGGTCACCCGCAGACGGTGGCTGGTGAGTCTGTTCAAGCGGGGACGTGAGTGACCTCGAAGGACCGAGTGCCAGCAGTGGTGAGAGTGTGAGGCCCCGTCTCCACCTTGGGGGCCTGAATCCTCCCATCCAAGAATCGACGAGTCCTTTTCTCTGGGTGAGAGATGGCTCCTCTTTGGTCACCACGAGTCCCAGGACATGGTGCTGAGAAGCTATGATGCCTGTGAGCATTCGGTCGGTGGGATCCCTC